ATTTTTTTTTTTTTTTTTTTTTTTTTTTTTTTTTTTTTTTTTTTTTTTTTTTTTTTTTTTTTTTTTTTTTTTTTATCATTGGATTGGTTAGAGTTAACCCAAATTTTTAATTTTTCAAAAACTCCGTTCATCTCAAATCTTAAAAAGGAATTTACAAAATCCAATCTTTATAAGCTTAATGGGTTTTTATTTTTGAAAACAAATCAAAATTTACCTATCTTTTGATGAAAACCCCTCGAATGAGGCTTTTGCGTCATGCTCGCTCATTTTGATTCCATCTCTCCCTTGCGAAGAAATACGCACCTTGGCGTTGAGTCTACTATCTTCTGCAACTGCAAAATCACACTCTCCCTTCTTCCTCCCGACGAAATGAGTTCCCAAGGAAATGACCCAAATTCTTCTTTGCCTAAACCCAGCCAACTCGAATGCAACCTGCGTCAAGCTCTCGCCGGCTTCCAAAACCAGTGCTCTGGGGTACTCCACAACCTTTCCAACCTTCCGCCCTTCAATCCCCCTCTTTCCCTCAAATCCCAGCTTCAATCTACCTTCTCGAGCCTCCAAAACCAAGCGAAACGTGCACTTGACTCCAGAATTTCAGCCTTTGATCCCGTTGCTAAAAATCCGGTTTGGGCTCGGATTGCTGAAACTGCGAAGACCCCTCGCCCATATGCCCGGCCTACTGTCGCCTTGTCGACGGAAGCCATCGAAGAGCGGCTGGCTGGTATTCCTGTTTATGCCCTCAGCAATGCGTCTGAGGAATTCGTCTTGGTTTCTGGTGCTTCGACTGCAAAGTCTCTGGGATTTTTTTGCTTTAATAAGGAGGATGCAGAAACGCTGCTTGGGCATATTGGAACAGTAGATCCTTCAGCGCAGAACGGGTCCAAAGTGGTGACCGTTGCCTTGAATAAAGTGGGTATTACTAATTTCCGCTCTGTTTGGTGTGGATAAGAACTTCTCGTGTTTCCAACCCAATTTTGTTGATTGTTTTCGCAGGTTTTTCAGCTTCATGTTAATGGGGTGGCCTTCAGATTGATTCCTGAGTGCTCTCAGGTGAAAAACGCTCTGAGTGTAAGTTCTCTCTCGCTCTCTCTATCTCTCCCTACGGTGTTAATTGGAGGGCGGGAATGGTTTTTGAATTTAGTTTCTCTTATCTTCTTTTTTCTTTTAAATGTCAAATCACAATTTCTGATGCTTGTTTCCTTTCAGTACAGAAAGTCCTTTGCTGTTTTCCTTTATATACTTGTGGCTGAGGCCAATAATTCTATCTATACGCTTGTCATCGTCTGTGTTTATTATGTTCTTGTTTGTACATTAACAATATTATTTTGCCTGCGTAGGAAAGAGAAAAGGCTGGCATTTCTGATAATGGATTTCCTGGAGTCCCTGTTTTCCAGGTTAATTTCTAACGTTTCTAACTCGAAATTGGTATCTGTAATTCATTTGTTGATCACTATGCAGTTCACGTTCAATGGTAGAGAAAGCAGTACTGGTAGAACACTGCCAACCTTTTACTTGGGTTGTATGGACCTTATTAATATCAAGTGTTCTTGAAAATTATGTTCTCTTTGTTTGGGTTTTCACTTTTCCGAAGTTCTTTTGAAATCTTCCTTTCTTAAAAAGTGCTTTTGAAGTCTCAGTCAAATTTCAAAAATAAGAAATAGAAATTTGAAAACAGTTTTAGAAGTAAATTAGCAGAAAATGTTAGAAAATAAGCATAACTCTCAAAAACTTAAAACTAAGAATAAAAATGCCCAAAACTTCTGTTTTTCAGTAGTGCTGCAATCTTTTAATTATGTTGTTGAAATTAACACTCATGGTAATGATTTTATGCTTTTTCTGAGTATGAGATTACTTATTGCCTTGTTGAAAGCTGTATGACTATATTTTAGCATTTAATTAATTCCATAAATTTTAAATATTATCATTTACTTTCCCATTGATTGAACGCTGAAATTGAGTTGAAAGATGGTAAATTAACTTTTTAGAGCAATTAACTCGTATTCCCATTTAAACCAATCCTTTTTCATTTGTTTTTTTTAAAGAATATAATTGTTTATGATGTAGAACTGTATGACTTTGAGAATTTAGTTGTAATTGAATCCATTTTGTGCTGTTTTAATTGAAGGCTCTGAGAACTGTATGACTGATTCTGTGGCTGTTTCACTATGTCTCTTGGTGGCTTCTTGCCTTGAGGCAATCGTGAGACATGTTGCCTCATTTTGTGCTTTCAAAATGCAATTTGTAGGTTAATGCATTCAAAATAGGCAGCCAAATCACATGGAGTTAGAACTCTTCTGAGCTGCCTATTTGGGGAATCAACTATACCTTCAAATTTTTAGATTACAAAATTTCGAAATTAATAGTCTTAAATGTTATTCCCGATTTCAAACTTAAAGAATGCATAGCTATATGAAGTTTTTTTTTTCTTCCCGGTCATTGTTATGTTGTATGCATGGGTTTGTTTTTGTTTTGATCTGGTTAATATTACCTTGTTTGAGGATTTCTAAACATTTGGGACTGATATAATCAAGTTTATGCACTTTGCATAGTCGAAGAGCTTGATACTGAGGAGCAAAAACAAGAGTTACCGTCCTGCCTTTTTCAGAAAGGTCAGTTAAGAAGGGTAGTTTTCTTGACCAGGGAGTACCATTTTTACATGGATTCACTGTTGTAACTCTCATTCTTGGATTTTTTTAGGAGGATTTGGAGAATTCTCTAAAAAGAGCATCTCAGGACCAAAATCAAATGAATCCTGCCCTCCGACCTGGGGATGTACAGGTATAGCTCTCTGTGCTTCTTGGTACTGAAGCATGTTCTGTAGATGGGAACTTTAACATTTTTTTCTCAATCTTGTAGGTTGCTGCTTTTGAAGACATTATAAAAGGAATGAAGGTGAGAAGCCCAACTCTTTTTTATTTTCTAGATACTCTCTTATCAAATAAAGTTTCATGGAACACTCTCTCTATCTTCTCAGAAACTACTCTATTCCACTGTCTTTAAATGTTTGTCAAGAGACAAATAATTGTATACCTTTGTTTCATTGACAGGATAATTCTATTTCAACATGGGATGATGTAGTCTTCATTCCTCCCGGATTTGATGTTTCCACTGACCCCAAAAAACAGCATTAGGCATCAGCATAGGAACTGAGATAGTTGCTGCCAAATTTGTCTCATCATACAAAAACCTTATATGGAGACAGTAGGGTACTTAGTTGAGGTAATATCTTGATGCTTCTGTAATTTCTTTTAATTTCTTTAGTTTGTTTGTTCTTGTTCATTTTGGCAACTATTTTATTAGAACATTTTTGTTTCTTGATTTTAATATATACGAATTTTGGCAACATGTTTTAGACTGTCTTTCTTTAAACAAGAAACAAAAGCATTATCGAACTAGCCTTTTAAGCTGCCAGCTCTTGCCACCTTAAAACATCCCTTGGTTGCTCTTGCTACCTTAAAATACCCCTTGGTTGTTGGACTTGACAATGATTTGGGTACTGTTTCTTAGGTTCAAATGATTGGAAGGGAGGGGATCTTTTGTTACATTTGTGTTAAGAGAAGGAATCCCACCAAACTCCACGCCTGGTTTGTTGCTTGTCTCTGGGGTTTGGTAGTGTGTGTGTGTCTACATGCTCTTTTGAGCTGTATTCAATAATTTATATCATAACAATATCATAGCCTTCTGCATCCTTTTCTCTGGTAGCTTTTATGGAATGTGTACATTAGTTTAATATATTTGCTGCTCCGATTTGGATTTTGGATCACTTTTTCTTTGCTGTAGAGAAATTAGGAGGATGTTTTTCTTAGTTGATGGTAGTTTTAGGCTCCATTGAAGGTAATATTGACATTTTAGTTTTAAAAAACATATGTGCATTGATAGTAATATTTAGACTCTTTAAAAGTACCGAGGAGTAGTAGTCATAAGTGAAGTTATTCCCGAGCATCATTTAATGGGTTAAGATATAAATGATCATTGATGTTACCTCTCATCTTAGGGCGAGGCAAGGAATTTGTTACATTTCAACATTTTAAGTCCACTAAGGGAATGAAAGTGAAAACCTTTTTTTAGTATGTGTTTTAAAACTGTGAGACGTAATAGGCTAAGATGGACAATATCTGGTAGCCGTGAGTTTGAGTTATTACAAATAGTATAGAATTAGATACTCGGCCCTAAGGGTAGATTTAGATATCTCATATCAGTTGGAGAAGAGAACAAAACATTTCTTATAAGGGCGTGGAAACTCCCCTCTAGCAAATACATTTTAAAATCATGAGATTTGCGGTGATACGTAACGGGCCAAAACAGATTAGTGGTGGGGTTTGGGTGGTATATTTTCCATATGTTTTAATAGGAGTATACTTTTTTCAAATAATGATTCTATAGAATTGGATTAGGGCTTTAAAACCAACTAATAAGTTAGATGAATAAAATAATGGTTTACTAAATTTAAATTGTAAAGTTCGAATATTAATTGTAATTGTTAGTGTTTGAGTGGGAGAATAATTATGAAGCGATGGGTTTCAATATTTTACATTAAATCATTGGGATAAAAAAAGGTGATTAATCAAAAGGGAATATTAATTGCATCTAATCCTCCAACTTTGGTTATGATAATCAAATATAGAGTGTAGGGTCCAATCAGTGCCTCAATTATGCATCATTCTTTTCAAAATCCCCTTCTTTTTTTTTTTTCCTATCAATTTTTATTAAAAAAAAAAAATTATATATTTGTTAAAAATAAAAAACAAAAAATAAAAAATTTATGGGTTTATGGAAGAAAGCATGGGCTGAAATCAAGTGGGTTGACTCATAATTTGGAAGCAAAGGAAGTGGCCAATGGGGAGCCATGCAGCAGCCAGCTGTCAAGTTCTGATTGGATAAAACAGGAATGATTTGTGGTCCAAAGCTCACTCACTCCCGACCTTTATTCTCCCATGCCAAAAACCGTTGTCATCCACCAACACCATTTTTTTTTTCTGAATTTTATTTCAAAAATCAATTCAAATTAATTTGGATTTTAGAATTATGGTTTAACATTAATGATTTACCATCATGTTTATCATGAATAACAATATTTTACATAATTACTTAAAATATCAATTACAACCCTTTCAAAAATATTTAAAAAAGAAAAATTAAATCCTTTTTTACATACTTACTTCTTTACATTACTACCTAAAACGTTTTTAAAATATTAACCAAAAAATAAAAAATAGTTTTCACAAATAAATAATCATGGTGTAGGTATAGGCATAGGCGTAGGCAGAGTTATGTGTGAGGGTTACACTCACTCAATATATTATACTAATTCTAAGAAACTAAGTTGAAAATGTCAGGCATTTCTCAGATGTTTGTACTTGGTTTCCAAATTTCTTAAACTTCTCGACAAAAGTCCAATAATAATAATATTGTTAGTAACATTGCTTTATGAAGTTTCTTTTTCTAAATTCAAGATAGAAAACCAATTAAATCAAATATTAAAATATAGTAATCTTATCAACTTAAACTCCTAAACAAATTATTCAATAAAACGACATCAACTACCACCGTGTGTGTCTATTCTAAATGCCTATTTGATATAGCATTCAACGTTACAAAACGTTTCCATCGAGTCGTGTTTGTCTAACAGTCACATCATAGCAGTGTTAAGTAACTACCCCGAATCCACTTTTTTTTTTTTTTTTTTTTTTGTTTAACTAACTATTTTACCCTACTTTTGTAAACCTCCACATTAAGTAAAGATTTATTAGAATGCCAAACCCAAAGAGTAAGAATCCCTAAAAAAAAAAAAAAAAAAAAAAAAAAAACCCTTTTAAAGGGTAAGGGGTAATGTATTGTGTAGTAAAAGCCCTTAAAAGCAGAAGGTTTAGAACGTACTTTAGAGGGGAGCCTCTAATCTGCCGCGCTGTCACCACCTTCCCTTCCCTTCCGCTCTTCCTTCTTCTTCCTCTTCACGCGTCCCCCACGCCTCTCATTACTACTCAATCCTCCTCTTATAAATTCCTTTCTCCCTTTCTCAGGCAAACCCATCTTTCCTTCTTCCTCTCTCTCTCTAGACGGCCATGGCCTTCGGCTCCGCAGCGATGAGCGTGGCGTTTTGGTGGGTTCTTCTTATGGGGGCTTTTCGTGCTTACGGGGGAAGCTTTTATGAGGATTTTGAGATCACTTGGGGCGGAGATAGAGCTAAGGTCTTCAATCGCGGCTCCCTTCTCTCTCTCTCTCTTGATAAGGTTTCTGGGTCTGGTTTTCAATCCAAAAAACAGTACCTCTATGGCCGGATTGATATGCAGCTTAGGCTCGTCGCCGGTAACTCCGCCGGCACTGTCACCGCCTATTATGTATGTCTTTTCTTCTTCTTCTTCTTCAGATTCCTCGGAGGGAAGATAACATCAACTGTTTTAATCATTATTCAAAATATTAAAAAAAAAAAAGAAAAAATAACGTTTTTTCTTAAAGAATATCACGGGATTTTGAATGTTTGAACGTTTTTTCTGTTTATGAACCGTCAATTTCAAGTAAAGTAATGGACAGTGTTTATCTACAAAGTTATGTTTGAATTGAGTTGAATATAAATATTTCATGTGACCATGAATTAGAAATCAAATAACTTTGTACGAGATGAGGTATTAGTAGGTGGATAATGGTAAAGATAAATAAATAAATATATATTTTTAATATTGTAAAAAGCTAAATTCCATATACTTTTAGTTTTGTATGAAAACTATTAATACTCTATTTACACCAAACAAAACAAAAAAAGTTTTTGGAACTTTTTGAAAAAAAAAAATTCCAAAACTTTCCATCCAAAAATTTAATATAAAAATATTTTTTAAAAAAAATTAAGGGTATTTTTTTTAATGTTAATTTAGCCTCAACTAAAAGAAATATATTTAAAATTATAAAATTAAAAAAAAAGGCATACTTTTGTTATTTATAATTAAAAAAGGTAAATGTAATTTTGTTTTGTTGTGTTTTATGAACTAAATTTTGATTCATATCATTTAATTAAAACAAAATTTAAAAAACGATAAATGAATAAGAAAGAGACAAATTAAGTCGATTATTTATTGAGATTTTAGATTATAGTAACAAAGAAATTGATGTAATTAGGGAAATCATAGTCTTAAATCACAAGGCATAGGCTGACTTTATGGGATTCTTTTGTCCAAAAAAGTGAAGAAATATGATAAGATAGGAAAATAGTGAATTAATTATTTATTTATTTATTTATTTATTTATTTATTTATTTTTGGGATTTGGGATTTGGGGTTTGGGGTTTGGGGTTTGGGGCAGTTGTCTTCCGAAGGGGCAAGCCATGATGAAATTGACTTTGAATTTCTGGGGAATGTAAGCGGTGACCCTTACATTCTCCATACCAATGTGTTCACTCAAGGAAAGGGAAACAGAGAACAACAATTCTACCTCTGGTTTGATCCAACCAAGAACTTCCATACTTACTCCATTCTTTGGAATCCTCAACGGATTATGTAAGAACAACAGTTCTTCCTCTTCTTTTACCTATTTCTATGATCACCACAAGTTTTCGAGCAAAAGTTCAATAATGTTTTGGATTTCTGTTGATCGTCGTTTTCTATTTCAGATTCTTAGTAGACAACTATCCTATAAGAGAGTTCAAGAATGCGGAGGAGATCGGCGTACCTTTTCCGAGGACTCAGCCGATGAGAATCTACTCCAGTCTTTGGAACGCGGACGACTGGGCAACCAGAGGCGGATTGGTCAAAACCGACTGGTCTAAAGCTCCATTCACAGCCTATTACCGCAACTTTAACGCCACCGCTTGCACCGCCGCAGACTGCGCCAAATCCTGGTCTTCCTTCTCCGGCTCCTCCTCCGCTGCCGAACTGGACGCCTTCGGCCGTCGCCGCCTCCGCTGGGTCCAAAAGTACTTCATGATCTACAATTACTGTACCGATCTCAAGCGCTTTCCTCAAGGCCTTCCGCCTGAGTGCAATCGCCGATCGAAATTCCTCTGAGAGTGAGAATGAGATGCTCTAATGGCGGCAGCGGAAACCACAGTTCTTGATCGACATCGAAACCTATCTCGGAAGATAGGCAGTCTTGATTAGGGCTTTTTCTATGTTATTGTCTGCAGGTGAGGTCTATGAAGCTTCATGGTCCTTCACTCTTTCCTTCCATGTATAAATGTTGCTCTAATTTTTCTTTATGTTTATATTATATCAAATAAATCAGTTAGAATTGTTAGATTCAATCCCAATGGAGAGTGTATTCTTAGATTATAAACCCACCATTCCCTAAATTAACGGATGTGGGACTTTCATCATCCAACACCTCCCCTCGAACAAAGCACCCTCCCCTTAATCGAGGCTCGACTCCAAAGACTTTCATCATCCAACACCTCCCCTCGAACAAAGCACCCTCCCCTTAATCGAGGCTCGACTCCTTTGGAGTCTTAGTCATTTTTGACTGCCTTCGTACCTTCGAGGAGGCTTGACTCCTTTTGGAGTCCTTTATTCGACATTTAAGGATTTGCCAATCTATTGACACGGCTAAGTTTAGGGCATGGCTCTGATACTATGTTAGACGAACACGACTCTCCACAATGGTATGATATTGTCCACTTTGAGCATAAGCTCTCATGGCTTTGCTTTGGGCTTCCCCAAAAGACCTCATACCAATGGAGAGTGTATTCTTAGATTATAAACCCATGACCATTCCCTAAATTAACCGATGTGGGACTTTCATCATCCAACAAGAATTTTCACGATTACCCCTAATAGCTCCGGACCCAATTCAGAGTTCATAACAATTCGAACATGTGAATTTATGATTAATAATTAAAAAAATAATTAAAAGAGTTTATAAATTAAATAATTTTAAGTTGGGTCTGGTTTGGTTTGTAGGGATATCAATATTACGTAGCTAATTCGATCAAGGTGGGTTCGTGTTGATTAGTAGGAATGTGAATATCAGATTGCTAACGTTGCAAATACAATTTAAAAAATCTAGACGGGAAGCTCTATAAAAAATAATATTCTTGAAAATAGAAAAAAAAAAGAAAAAAAAAGGGGGAAATTAGGAGTTAGTTGAAGGGTAATTTTGAGGGGGGTATGAGCAACCGAATTAGGCGCCGGAGTGTGGCGTCCCACCACACCATACACTATTTCATAAAAATCTCTCCGCCTTTCTCTCTCGGAATTCTCTCCCATCTTCCTAATTTCGAGATCGATCCATCCATTCAATTTCAATTCAATTCAATCCCATACTACATTTTGTTCCAATCCAATTCATTTCCTCTCCAATTCATCCAATCCCACCTCCACCTCTACCTCCACCTCCACCTCCAAATTCCCTCAACATTCATGGCGGATTCGCCACTGAAACCGCCGCTCCAGAGGCCTCCAGGCTATAAGGACCCAAGCGCCTCCGGTAGCTCAGCCTCCATCCCGGTCTCGAAGCCGCCGGCTGCCAGAAACAAGCCCCGTCTCCCGACCTCGTACAAGCCAAAGAAGAGGAAAAGCAGCTGCTGCAGGCTCTGCTGCTGCGTGTTCTGTTTCCTAATCCTGTTCCTGATCGTCGTGGTGTCCCTCGCCGGCGCCCTGTTCTACCTGATCTTCGACCCCAAGCTCCCCCTGTTCCACCTCCTCGCCTTCCGCATCTCCTCCTTCAAGGTCGCCCCGACTCCCGACGGGTCCTACCTGGACGCCCAGGTGTCCATCCGGGTGGAGTTCAAGAACCCGAACGACAAGCTGGCAATCAGGTACGGGAAGATTGAGTACGACGTGATGGTGGGGCAGGCGGCGGAGTTCGGGCAGCGGGAGCTGCAGGGGTTCACGCAGGCGAGGCGGAGCACGACGACGGTGAAGGCGGACTCCGGGGTGAAGGGGAAGATGCTGGGGGTGGAGGACTCGACGAGGCTGGTGTCCAAGTATCAGAGTAAGGCGATGGAGGTGAAAGTAGAGGCGAGGACGGCGGTGGGCGTGGTGGCTCAAGGCTGGGCGGTGGGTCCCATCTCCGTCAAATTGGATTGCGAGTCTAAATTGAAGAATATTGAGGCCGGTGATATGCCTACATGCAATATCAATCTGCTTAGATGGTATGTTCTTCCTCCTCTCCTCTCCTTAAAGCTTATGAGTTTATAATCAAAGAATACTCTCTTCCATTGATATGAGGCCTTTTAGAAAGCTTAAAGTGAAATCATAAGAACTTCATACAATTTTAGAGAGTCTGTTCGTCTAACAATTATTATTATAATACGGGAATAATAGTATGTATTTTTGAATGCAGGATCAATATACGTGGATGAGGTTGCAATTGCACTAGCACTATTGCTCGGAAGTCAATTTTATTATATTATTTATTTTTATTGGGTTGAATATTTTATTGGAACTTTTTTTCTTTTTTTCCTTTTTTTTTTAAATCGAATTAATTTTTATTAAATATTACTACTTTAGAACGTCAAATAATTCTTTGACTAAATACATATTTGTTCTAAGTGTGAAATATAATGAAAAAAAAAGGAAAATAAGAGGGTTTCATTTAATTTGTACTAATGCAAAGGGTGTTTATATTAATGTAATTATAATGTAAGGACAATGTAATTTGTTTTTTTTTATTGATATATTTAATTATTCTTATTATTTTTTTAAACAATATTTGTATGAAGTTAATATTTGGATTGGAAAAAAAATTGAGAGGTATGATAACTTCACCTTGGCATGGGATCTCGAGGGTGACTGACGAGATTGAGTGGCTGAAAAACTGAGTCATTTAGCATTCTCTCAACTAATTGTTTTCATTCTTTGATGATTTGTATTTTGAGAAGAAAAGTGAAAATATATTCTAATTTTTTTAGAAATTTTGAGAAATAATTATCAACTTTTTCTTTTCCCCTTCAAATTTATGAATTATTATAGAGCTAAATTAAAAAGGGTTAAAATATAAATAACTAAAATGTAACTATATAAGATCGAAATTCGTTAAATACTAAAATATATAGAGTTTCTTATTTGAATTGAAGGAAAATTGGTCTATTTCCGGCATCATATCCATAGTTAACAGTTAGCAGTGCATAGTTAGAAGTTCCAGTTCCGTATCAAGGTCATGGTCGATATTGTCACTATCATCAATATCGCCGTCAGAAGATTGAAGAATTAATAATCAATTAAAAAAATGAGTTGATGAATTGTTTTTATACTATGACCTTCAAGTTTCCAAGAACTGTTAAAATATAAATTCGAACTTCAAGAAGTAATTAGATATAAATTTCAAACTCAGGAGATCGGAGAATCATCTTCGTCGTCGACTCTGACACCACCAATTCCGGCGACGACAACGTCAAATTAGTGTGTCTCGTCGATTAGATCCACCTCCACAATTCGCCAACAACGGAATCTGCTACTACCGGAGGAGATTTGTACTTCAACGAAAATCGTTGACGACCTCGCAGCCCTCCCGGCGGAGAACCGCGAGTGCGGCGGAAGAGATGAGATGGAGTACACTACCAGCCGCCACAGACGACGGTGTTTCGCGGCGATTTGTGGGACAGTGTGGAGGATTTGGACGGAGTTCGAGCCGTGTAAATGGGATGTGGGAGACTTATTTGGAAGGAAGAGGATTCATCTTGTGCATTGCATTGCATTTTGTTGAGTTTGTAAATATTAGATTATAACAAACAGTTAATAAATATTTCTTAAAATTTATAATCCAAACCCATGTAGTTTGGACTTCAATTGTTTGAATGTTTTAGAACATTTACCTTCAATCAAATCTCCCTTGAATTTCTAAAATGAATGTTTGCATCATCCTTCAACAATGTTGGTGATAAAATACAAACACAGATCCATCCAATCCATGGTGTGAAAGTTTGAGCAAAAAAGTAGTAATAAGTTCCTAAATTCTAGGGCTCTACACATCATTTTATATTACTTGCGCTATAATATGGCAAGCTCAGTTGTTCACAACTTTCATGGTGGTCTTTGTAAATCAATACAGACTCACCAAATAATAACTGCTTCGAGATTAGAACGAATCAAGAATCTGATCTACGATCACTGGAAGCCTCTGCCAGACTCTCTGGGTCTGATTTTAACGTTGGAGAAGGCAAATCCACAAGCATCTGAGGAGGAGCAAAATACATGTGCAGAGACATCATGCACACTATAATCCCCAGGAAAAGCTGTTTCATAAACAAAAAAAAAAAAAACAAAGGCTATCAAATTGAGGAAGAAAATCTCTATATGCTGTTTTTGTTAGAAAGTTCTCGAGTACCGTGTATATGGGTGTTCCATGATCCAGCATTAAGTCAATAACTTTCATTGCTATATAGGATGAAATTTACGAAGGTAGAGACTGTTGTCTACTTACGATCTCTCTTAGAAGAAGATACTAAGAGAATCACCTAACACGCCTCCTCTTGTTTTATAAAACAAAGGCCAGTAGTATTAAAGGTTAAAAATGACGTAAAAGCCATTTTTGGTATGGGAGGATTGAACTCTAAAAAGTAGCACAAAACAAAAAATGCTGAGGTAAGTTGGCCCCACATGCAGTCTTTTCTTTCTTTTTTTTTTTTTTTTGTGGGAAACATACACGCAGTCACAAATTTGAAGACTTTTTTGCAATTTGCGTAATAATTTACCTTAAATCAAACATGAGATAACTACACTATGACCATGATGGCTCAAGATGTAGCAGCTATATGGTAAGAAGAGCGTGAAACAAAGGAAATTTATAAACCAGTTTCATAGGCATCTGAGTTCACCTGCAGTGTCGGTCTGAAGTTAAACAGATGTACAGATAAGACAGTCGTCAGAAGCATTGCCATTGAAGTAGAATACACCTAGATTATTGAACAAAACGAACCATGAGTATTACAAGATATGAAGCATAATGATGGCTAGCGAAGTATTTATCGAAGATAAAACAGTTACCTTAACAATATTATCGGCATATTTCATCAGCCATGAAACCAAAAGCCCAGTAGACCCAAGATTAATAACCACCATCCAGGTAGTAATACTGTATCCGTTGAATAGACGTTGCCACCATGGACCATTCTCAAATCCACCTCTAAAATCATCCACGACAAGTCGTGCCATATTAAAAATAGACCCAAACCTGGAAGACCACAATCCAAATGATTCTAATGTTAATGCATTCTAATCACACGAATAAAGTTGAAAAACTGATGACTTCTTTAAGCACTACAAGCAGCCATTGGTCTTCTAAATCCGCTTATGAGAAAAAATGAACATAAACTTAATTCTTGGAAGAAAATCATATTCTTCATTTTGAAAATAAAACAGCAGATTAAAAGACAACTAAGAGTAAGCAACCTGATAAACATAAAAGAATGGATACCTACGTGTATAACTGAACATTCTGCCAGTATAAAGAATCATTATTTTTCTTCATCAAGAATTCTGTATAAATGCCTGCTAATGCTGAAAGACAAGCAGAAAGAATCCCTAACATGTATCCTTCAATTGGTGATGAGAGAAGAGATTCACATGAAGACTCTCCACATCCTTTTACCTGAATAAATGAAAAATTACAAAAAGAAAAAAAAAAACCCATTAAAATTTATAGAAAATATCAATAATTAACTATTAATTTGGAAAAAGGGAGACTAAATGAAGACCGCAGAGAAAGCATAGGAGGCTAAGAAGCCAACAATTCTATAACTATTGGATCCTCAATTTCCTATATGCACTACATAAAATAACTAAACTAAACAGATTCTGATTTAAAACATACTACAACCTGAAAAACATTCTACGCAGCTGCAGCACATACTAACTAAATAGGCAAAGTTGACTTGTTATGACTTTTCGAATTCTGTTGTTAGGTTGTTAGGTTCAGGCACATCATTCCTCTATCAATATTAACTCTCTGTTAGTTAGCTGAGCACTCTTGTATATAATATGGGCTGGCAGCCAAATTAGAGAAACAATTTTTTTGCTCATGCAGAAAGAACCGGACAATGGGAAGCCTTCGTTGAGTAATGGGAAGCGGGCTAGTCCCCGAAAAAGCCTTGTTCCCTTCCTGGGTTTACAGCAATGTTGCTGGGCCCTATAGCCTTATTTCTTTCTTGCTCTTCATATTAGGAATTACATCCATTTCAGTCCGTGTTCACAACTAGTTTTTCCACCCTTCCACTATCAGTGATGCCAAGGTAGGTCTAGCCTTTAGTCAGGAAATCATAATTATCTGTAATATGACTATTCTTATCACTCTTCCCTCCATTTCTCATCTATCTTACTGATCACCGAAGACATATCCAAGAGTATTTTATTTCCATGAAATTCCCATAATTAGTAACAAGTCCATAAGCCAGATTCGAATAAAAGTAGTAGAAGTTCTTTCTTTTCAAATGCAATACCTGGCTTGTGGTCGTCCCAACTGCCAACAGAATAATAGCCATCCACTGCAAGTTGGATAGCTTCCTCTTTAGGACTAGCCTAAATCAGGAAATAGAAATATCTGCTCTTATGTGAGAATAAGAATCCAAGAAATGATATGCATTGATGTAACAGTCATTTGTATTTGGTAGAGAATCACCTGAACAAAATTCCAGTCGTGACAATCTTCAAATTCCCCATTATCTGGTATGTGGATGTATCTACATACGTCAGGGTAGCAAATTGAACATTGTTGTGGATGAGATATATAATTGAAGGTATCGGATATAAACGAACAGTCCTCCAATCAGTCGTCATTTTCGGAGGAGGAGATTTCTGGCTCTCCTTCCACAGAAACATACTTGACACTAAAAGCTACAAATATGTATTCAGATATAGATTAATGATACAAAAAGTAAAGAAAATCACATTGCTTCAAGGAACGCAAAGCACCTTAAAAACTTCTGCAAGAAAGGGGACGGTCGCATAGTCATATTCATATCTACCATTACTTTGTGATAACGTAGTTAAAATTCCCTGCATACATAGAAGGTAAAAAAAAAAAAAAAACGATTCGTTAATCAGTCTCTAAAGCATCAAAAATGAAAAAAGAGACCAGATTCTAATTAGAATTGTGACGATAGCTCATTGCATCAAGTAACTAAATCAATCGAAGCTACTACACCATAGCTTAACAACACAATCAAAATTTCTATACAACTAACAGAACATTCTGCATCCATGTTGTCCGAAATGGTGATTGAAATTAAGAGGCCGAGTTTCAAATTCTATTGAGTGAAACGAGAGAGTACTGATTTGGAATCACAAACCTGAGAACTGGTAAGTACGGTAAGAAGCAAAGCGACCATGTACCACTGCATTTCGAGCAATCTGCGCAGCAACAGAGATCAGAGATGAGAGAAATCTAGGGCTTGGCGACAGCGAAGAATTCCAGAGCGTAATGGCGAGAAATCGAGATGAGGTGAAGAAGGAAAAACGCATCCGGAGGAGGAGAGGCGGAGTACGCGGGTAGATGAAGTTGAGATCGGGATCTCCTCATCAAAGAAATTGAGATTTAAAAAAAAAAAA